AGCGTACAGAAACGTTGCTGTTGTTCCAGCAAAAATCTTATTTTCACTTTACCGAGTGCCTAGTAGGTAATTTGCAGATTACCTAGATAATCTGAACATTACCTAGGTAATTTGAGAAATGGAATAATTTTCGCAGCTTTAACGGATCACCCTAGTTAATCTGCAGATTAGCTAGGTAATGCGCACATTAACGGATTTCAAGCTTTAGGGGTAACATATATACAAAAAAATATATTAACCTATCCCAAGTTGAAATTTTTCTCCGTTGTGTATCACTTCGCGTTGAATTTTCGTTGACGTTAAGCCTAACGTAAACTTTTTAAAATAATAATCGTGACTATTGTATCGTTAAAAATTATTTCTTTATTTTGTACAAACAAAATAAATATATTGAAAAATATAAAAACAATAAAAAAATGCTACTTCAGAAGTTAATTTAGTATCAAAAATGTAAAATATTTGAGTAGCCCAAGACAGCCAAAGATTGCAGTGCGACAGCACTGGCAAAAATTTAAATTTGCCGACTGGAATTCTTTTGGATAATTGACGTTTCGGATAAACGACACACTACTGTATGTATATTGTATATATAAATATGGATATAACAAAATAAATTATAACATAGTATATATGTTATAATTTATAATTTATTTTATTCATAACCAATCCCTTCAATCGAGAATGTCAGAATCGTAGAAGTATTTCGTAAAGGATTTGAAACAAGAATTTGCAACCTGTAAAGAATGTAAAAAACAGATAAGACTGCTTGTTGACCAACCTTTACAATTTATCAGACACCTGCATAACAAACATGATATTGACAAGTTATCTTTCACTAGTACTAAGCACACAGCTGAGGAAACTGGAGCAGCTAGCAGCAAGACAAGATCAACAAACCTTAACATCGATTTTCATTAAAAAAGAAATGTGTGAAGAAATAGTAACAAAACATATGACTTTAGATGGCATTTCTATTAACTCTATTACAAAAAGCGAGTTCATCAGAAAATCATTGACAGACAGAAGATACACTTTACCAAAAAAACCATAACATGTAATCACCTTGTCACACTACAAACAAATAAAAGAACGATTATGTTCCAAAATTGGTAGCCAAATAAATGCAGGATCATGGTTTAGTTTATCCTTAGATGAATACACTTCACTAAACAATTGCCAATATTTAAATATAAACATACACAAAG